GATCTGCAAGGGTATCAAAAGTTTCGCCCCCCCGTAAATATGTTTTCTTTCTTATTTTGCTGGTGTTCGCGCTTTACCTCATTTGGTCCCACTTTTCCCGCTCTACCCCCCAAACGCCCAAACAACATTCAAATGGTGCAGGACACATGCAAAAGTCCTTTTTCTGACATGTTTTATGCCACCTGCTGCTCTTGCTGCTCTTGCTGCTCTGATGCTACTCTTACCTCCATTGTTGCTGTTGTGGTTGCTGTTGCATGTTCCCTTCCATGGCTGCCGTTGGCTGTTGAATTTTGTGTCTGTTGCTATTGCTGGTTTTGGTTTCTGGCTTAAATTGTTGTTGCTTGTCTTTTATTCACGGCTTTCGTGTTATGAATTTTTCAATTCCATACAAATTTGTATTTTACTTTTCACGCTTACCTCTCCAGTTTGTCTCGCTATCTCAACGGCAGGATTCCCACTAGCAGGACTCCCCCCAAAAATTTTGTTGCTGCTGTTTTCCGTTTTTGCTATTTTTGCTGCTGCTGCTGCTGCTGCAACGGCTTCATGGCCAGGCTCCAGTGTGGCGCTATGTTGCTAATGTTTTTGTTAAAACAAACAGCTTTTAAAAATATCCGCACCATGATACACAGCACATTGCCATAGATTTTGGGGACTTTAGTAAATTCTTTTGTTGCATGGATAATTTATCCTCCTGAATTTCACTCTCATCTGCTGGCGGAAACTCGATGAAAAAATCAAAATCCTCGTTAAAGTAAAAGCTTGGGAAAATATCAGAGTCCTTCATCAATTAAATCTAGAGTCAAAATAAACACCCATACATTTTCCACCCCAGTGTATTAAACTATTTTAATAATTGTAGCAATCCCACCATCAGGTCCGTCTACAGGTTCTACATCATCTTTTTATCGACTTATTTGACTATTTTATTTGATGATTTCCTTTTTTCATTTCCCGTTTTAGATCATGGCTCGGTCAGTCATACTGGCATCACTTTGCTGGCCTAGTCCGCACCCACATCAGTCCACATCTGGTGCAGGATTACAGTGACATCAATCGGTTAAATCGAAATATGGTTGGAGATTCAATATTCATTCAATATTCATTTAATATTATTTCTCTTCATAATTTATTCAATTATCTATTTTTTATAGTTATCAAATAGAGAATAGGTAGCTGCGAAAATCAAGTTAAATCTGAGTATACTAGAATCGGTACGGCCTCAGAAGTGGGACTGGAAGTCTTGTCACATATTTAGGGTCCTCTTTTGGGACTTCTTCTGGACTTCTTGAACGAATATCTAATGTAAAAAATCGTTCACCATATTTGCCTTTTGTGGGTGAACTCAGAATAGCAACTCAGAAGGTATAGTTGTAAGGAGAATCTCTTTAGAAAACATAGTAAGTATATTTAGGTATCGAAATATGTTTCCTGTTTCGATTGAACGATGGATCTGCAAGGGTTAAGTATAAGGGAGCTTCTGCTCGCTTCCAAAAATAACCGTCCTTTCTATTTGTCTTTTACCAGTTGTGCTGTAATATTTTCAGGTGTGTAATTGTTCCGGAGTTCATTTGAAGCCTGCCTGCACAAATAGTGGGAGAGGGTGGGCCACTGAAAAATTAACAATTCAGAGTTTTCCCAGGGAGGTAGAGGTGGGCGTGCAGCTGAGAGTGAGTGGCGGCTATATGGATAGACTAGGTAGGAGGCGGGTGTTCGATGTGACAGTAGTTGGCATTGTTGTTTTAATAGGCCGCCGGTCATGTTCAGCAAACATAATAGAGTTTTTGCGTCAGTTGCAACGTTTTACCCCACTTCAGTCTCCTCATCCACCTCCACCTCCACCGCCTCCTCCCATGCCATGTCCCCCTTTCCCAGGGCCTTCTAACTCTCTCTCTCTCTTTCTGTATCTGCCCGTTGTGTGTAAACCTCACCATAGAATTTCCATCGACAGGTGCCTGCCCATTGCTTTCATTGCATAAGCTGGAAAATGCTTCAGTTAAGCAGTTCCGAATTCCCCGTGTGTGAGTGTGTCCAGATGTGTCTCTATAGGTGTGTGTGGGTAGGATAGATGGCATTATGAGAGTCGAGTGTCCTTTTTTTGATTTTGCGGTTACTCTAGTTTAGAATATTAGAATATGGTCAAGGGGGGAAAATGGGTCTCCAGTTTACCAATTATCAGGAATAGAATTTTAATTATACATACATTTTGCAATTTTATCGCTCTATAAAGGGCGAAAGTTTTCTTCTTAAACACCACCCCCCCGCCATGCCAAGCAAAAAATTTCCATGGGAAAAGTTTCATCGATAAATCGGAGAACATTTTTGTTTGTTTGTTTAACTTTGGGATCCGGACTGAGGCTGGTAATTCTATTAGCTTGGGGACTTACTTAAATTCTTAGAGCAAGCTCAGTGGAGATAAGCACTGGCGACCAATTAATACGGACAGGGCGGACAGGAGGATGGAGGCCATTCCCAAATATTTCTACACAGACGCGGAAATAGTTAGGGACAAGGATATGGACGCAATTATAGACAGAGGCAGAAACGAAACGAATGTTTACGGACATGTGAAAGGCACGGACTGAACAGTCTGAGATAGAAGTTCACATGGAATTTGCATTGTAATTTCTGCCCTCCTATATTATTAAGGCCTTCCCTTTGTGGGCATTAATCCTTGGAGAATCCTGATTAATAATTGCAGTGCTGAATTGACACTTAACAGCAATGATGGCGAATAAATTAGGTAGTTGGGAGAACGAAAGTTGGAGGCGAACTTGAAACTTTTCTTGGGCTATCTACTCGTATTCCTCCTTGTCATTACAATTATGGCTCGAACATTGCTACTAATCACACTCAGAGGCATTATACACATTAGATTCGAAAGGCAAATAATAAAGCAGAAGCACACACACACACACACACACGCACAGAGTGGCGGAGGAGGAGGAGGACCTGCGAGTTCGCTGGAGAAGAACCAAATTATTTCTTATTGAAGAAAGCAACAGCTGCCTCAGTCCTATACCATATTTTTTGTTATTGTTGCTGTTGTGGGTTTAGCATTTTCTTCTTCTTGGCCTTACTCATTTGGTTGTAACTATGGCAACCTTTGACCGCATTCGTTGCCTTTTCTGCCACTGCCACTGCCGCTGCCGCTGCTGTTGTTGTTGCCCTGTGGCCTATGGAAGCGGCAAAATAGAACAGAAAATTGAACCAAAAGAATGTCTCCTGTCACCCCACCTCTTGCTCTATCCCCCACTCTGGCTGCCCCTGCCCCCACACCCTCCTGCATGCCCGTATCTTCCATTCAGTGGCCCTACAATGCGGCTTTTGGTCTGGTCTCAGTTGTCCCGAGTCCCGATGCAAAAACGCAGTCCTAAAGTTTCTTTTATGTGGGTTTTGTTCGCCGAGGGAAAAACACATTTCTTATATGCGATTGTTGCTCGCAGAATGAGGGAATATGTACTTGTTAGACAAGCATAATTAGGTGGCATAAGGATTCGATGGGAATGCTCTCAGCGTAACAAGTACATAGGTTTTCAAATTCATTACATGATCACAGCCAGTTGGAATCTTCCAATTTGCTGATAATGCAACAGCATATCTTAGATATAATATAATTGTTGGAAAATGCCTCAAATACCAGGGTTAAGACTCATTTGAATATTTAATATTTATAAACCAGGAAAACGAGCAGAAACACCCTTTAATAGCTTAATTATGAAACTTAAAAATAGCTTTGCATCTTGCACAATATTTTCGTATCCGAAAAAAAAACACACACACAAAGTGGTTGAAATATCTTCCTTTCTGGTCTAAAAATCTGTGAAATTATTTTAATTCTTAAGAATTTTCTGTATATAAAAGGTAAACAAAGGAGAACCAACCTCACCAAGCCAAGGGAAAGCACCAACAGGAAAATGCATTCCAAACATATTTCAAAATGTTTTCTTCAGACTGTGATCCCAGAATGTCATTTGACATTTCCCCTTCCATCCCCTCCAGAAAAAAAACTATTGTAAGAAAAGAAGTACGAAAAATACGGATTTTGTTGTCGCTGTCAGTGGGGCTACAACTTCCTTGCCCCAAGAAGACGGCGGAAGTGACTACGGAAATGAGTGAAAAAAAATTGAAAACTCACTCAACGCTCGTTCTCTCACGAATGGTTTCTCTCCTTCTCTCTCCGTGGGCAGGGTATATTTTTATATGGTTGTAGCCTCCTGGTCGCAAAATTCGAAAGAAATGTACTCTTTTTAGTGCCCAAAGTATGCATTAACCAAAGGGCAGGATGAGATCTAACGAATCTCAAATATAAGCGAGAATATTTCAAAACATTTGGAAACCAATAAAGTATAAAGAATTTGCCTCCATTTGACTCTGGCTTTGGAGACTCTGGACGAGCTGTTTAATCTCTATTTCCTGGCCGTAACAATAATGACGTATTTAAATGAGAATATCATAGTCATTAAGGCGTTCGTTCACGGAACAGTCGAGGGCTCGAATATGCATGTGGACATTCCCACTCTAGTGGCATCATCTGGCCTGGGCCGTGGCACTGAAGTCTGCCTCTGCCGGACACCGGACACTTGCATGGGGACATGTTGATTAGAACGTTAATCCCTACTCTTCCCAATATTAGGAGCAAATTTACTAATCTGATGTCAAAACCACTCAGGAGCGCTCTCTGACAATGCCTCACCCTACATTATTACACTCTGTGGCTCGTTGGAGGAGTCTCGCTCGGGCTAAGGGGAATTTTCGTGTGAGTTAAAAATAGTCGGTAGCAGACAAAACAATCGGTCGGCTGGCGCTCGTCTCGGTTCGGCTTTTACACTCACTCAGCATTGAGTGGGAGCAGATTCCGAAGCATCTACTGTGGAGGCGTAGGTCGCGCGGGGCAGGCAGGGACAAGGGTAGAGGCTGTGACTGTGGAAGCAACATCAGCAGCAGCAGCAGCAACAGCAGCAGCAACAGCAGCAGCAACAGCAGCAGCAACAGCAGCAACGGCATTAGCAACAGTCGAGTAACAGACTCGATGCAGCGCGGTGGCACATTCCACATACCGTTACGCTTAAGCTTTCAGTCTACGTCGAGTTCGCCACGTGCACGGACACGACGAGTCGAGCGGTTCGCGTGTCCCAATCACGCTCCAATCCCAAACATAGAGACATAACAAAAACTTCGCGTTGCGGTTCGGTTCGTTTCGGTTGCAAAATCAAAATAAAACTCTAGTGCAGATCGCCACTCAAGATACTACTTTGGATGCTCCCAATATTTGTTCCTTCCTTTTGGTTAAAGTACTCGCAGTTTCCTTTTTGTTGTAATTTTTTGTCTGTGGAAATTCGAAAGTGTGAAAAGTGTGCCAATGTGCCGGCTGGGGAGAAATGCGCGCCAAAAATTGAGAAATTTACTTCGCGAAATGTAACAACAACATTTCAAAGGAATCTGAAGAACATTAAAGTAAAAATATATATATATATTTATTCCTAATCATCATATCTAAATTTCAATTAATTTGGTTTTGGTAAAACATTAATTCTTCTATTAAATGCAAATACAGAAATAAATATAAAATGTATACAAACTAATTTCCTAATAAAGATAAAACATATTCAGTTTCCAGTTAAAAAATAAATTAAAATTTAAACAAAAGTACTGTGTGTGTAAATATCGGTCGTTTTTTCTAGCACCGAAAACAAATATTATTTCGAAACATTAATTAGTTTACACAGAAATATCAATTACCAAAAGCACAACAGAATGGAAAAACATCTAAATAGAAAACAAATATGCAATAAATTCAGCTAAATATGGAATAATAATATTAATCGCCAGAGTAAGCAACAACAATACCAAGTTTTAAAGTGGGGAAATAAACGCAGCACTTTTTGGAGCAGAATAAAATCTGCATTTAATGAGCTTAAGCCTCGGCTCCAAAATGTAGTTTTAATGAGTTAAAGTTGAGTTTGAATTTGGATTAAAATTTGCCGAAAGAAAACTTCTTTCAGGTAAGCCTTAGGGAAATGGAAAAACACGGATAGATGAGCAGCGGGTCCATTGTGGATTTCTGTATTTCTTTGATTAGTTTTAAATGTCTTGTCTTCTTTATAATCACAGATGTTTCTGCTCAAAATTGTCCATATTTTATAGAAAGATGTTCAGTTTTTTACAAATGTCTAAAACTATTTTTGAACACTCGATGGGGGTTGTTTTTGTATACACTTCTTTTGGTGAATATTTGTTTTCCTCTTATTTATACAGTCAGTATCGGGTCTAGGCTCCAGATGGTTGCCTGGACAAATATTCAAATACATATGCACAGACATAAGTCAAAATTAAACATTAATTTTTTATGAAAACCTATTGAATATTCACATGCAAATATGTTAATCATGTCCAACTTCTAAAAGATTCCCAATATACCCTCTTATCTAACTCTTATTTATATTTTAAATCACGTCCTGGTTTTCTTTTTAGTTTTGTTCCAAGGTGTCATAAATGTTGAGATTTGTTAAACAAATTTGCTTATTTGCTGCATCCCATCTTTCTTAGAAAACAAATATATTTTATTGCCGCATATTTCTGTTGTATTTTTGTATCAATTATTAAAATTCATACTTTATAATTCAAAATAAATGTTTGTTTAGCCAATTTGCACTGTATTTTCTGTGTATCCCATATAGACTAGTGTGGGGCCACTTACCGAATTGGCAGACATATTTTTAGACGCAGCCTAAATAGTAAAAAACAAGAACAGAATGAACGAAAAGAAACACATAAAATAGACGACATAGCGAAGCAGCAGAGGATAGAAGAGCCAAAGCAAAGCAAAGCAAAGAAGAAAAGAATTGAGAGAAAATTCATTAATAAAAGGCAGCAACAAGAACAAGAGCAAAAATTAAACGGCTGCCATCAAGTTTTTCTTTTACCCCCACCCCAAACCGCTTGTCCGACACAGCTGTGATCGAAAAATATTGAAAAAAGACACAAAAATCGGAAAAATGAAAATGAAAATTATTACACATGCGTAATGGGCGCGCGGTGTTGTTGCTTTTATTGAAAAATATTTTCTTCTCAGCAAACAACAAATTTTGATAGCGGCAAGTTTGACGAAGGTTTTTCCTTCGATTTGTCTTTGGATACCCCACCCAGAACGCATTTAGTGGTTGAGGGTATAGTGGTTTTTTACCATTGCGATAAACTGAAATTTGTTCTCTCTTAAAATATGGTGTTGTTACAGTCTGATACCCCAGAGCCCTTAAAACTCTATACCAAATCGGACCACACCTCTCTAAGGTATAACAAAATTGGTTGAAGAACATTTAAGATTTTCTAGCTGCCTCGGCAGGCTACTAGGATTCAGAGTGTTCTGAGGCGAATGAGTCATTTTATGGGTCAGCTGCTTTATATAACTTTATATCATGCAATATTTTCAGTCGACAATACCCCTTAGCTTGACAGGAATCTTTCAAAACTGCATCTTAATAAATATTAAAATAAAACCTATTCTATTATAAATGGGGACGATTTTTAGATATTCCCCTGAGTTGAGGTTGATTGCCAAATGATATTTTGTATATTAACTTCCTCTCAAGCCTCTCAGGAATATATTTGAAAATAGATTTGAAGTTTCTGTCATGTATTCCAATATTTATTGATGGCCTTATTCCGTAAATTTTTGTTTTTGTTTTTTCATCCTGTTTCAAAACATTTTTACTCTAGTCTAGTCTCCTTTTATCTGTCTTATAATCTTATCTGCTCAAAGAGCATTCCCCTAGTCGTCAATTCCCACCTATAACAGTTTTTTTTAGTTTTCTTTATTTTGTCGCCGCCTCAGTGAATTCTCTCGACTTCCACTACCCTCTCTCTCTCTCTCTCTCTCTCTCTCTGTCCGTCTGCCATGCCGCGCGTACGATTATATCCCTCTCTTCCGTTGGATGCCAAAGTTTTGCATTATGTTCATCTGGTTCGACTTGTCTGTGGCGGGGCTCTCCGCCCAATCCGTTGGGCCCCACATATGTGGCTCAAGGCTGTCGAATATACGCACTTTTTGCGCCATAGTCGATTTCTTATTCATTTTTTTTTTTCATTTTCTACTCTTTTTCTCATTATAATTTTCCTCTTCTTGTGCATGTTGCCCTCAGAAAATGTGTGCAAGGCAAACAAAATGTTTGCGGTAAAGTTTTTTCTTCTATTATTATTTGGGTTGTTCTTTTTCTTTAACAATATTTTGAAAGGGACAACGGAACTCCTTTGAATTGAATTTTGATGCTGATCAAGAACATACAGATGTAAATGTTTTTTTTTTATTATCCTTCCAGGGGATTCGCATATCTGGTATCTCTGCAATGGTATAAAAATGTGTATAATACGCTATTATTCTGCATTTTTTCATACAACTTCTATTCTGCATAAAACAGATTCATCATACATTCTCGCACATTCATACAACCGCATATACCACCATTTTTATGCATTCTTCCCCATTATTATTTAAGCCCATTTATTTTTATCTCTCTGAATTGGTGGGGATTAATTTTATTTCAATTTTTGCTTCCATTTATTTCAATAAAATTAAGCCAAAAGTTTTTTTGTGCCGTTAAACCCAAACTTCCTTTAACGATTTTCCTTTCTGGATTTTCTCTTTATTTTCTGCTTTTGGTTAGCTTAACTGCCTTCCCCATCCAGCTCTACACTCCCCTCCCTGGCGGACTGACCCTCTGACTCTATTGTAGGAGAAGCAACAGGTTCTCTCATTTGTGAGGATTTCTTGCTATTTGTTTGCCGTTTTTGCTTTTTTATTCACCCTCGTTTAATATTTTCATTTATTTTTTGTTTTATTTCTGCCCAAAAGCCTTTTGCATTGTGCTAAATTTTCCAGCAAATTCCCAGGGAATGTAAAACTAATTGCAGCTGTAGACGGAAGGGATTGACATTGGGAAAGGGTAAAAAGAGGAGGTGGTGCGCAGTTAACAATATCAACGCAATCGCATATAACTAATCAGAACAGAAAAAGAGCGAGCAGAAAAGTTGGCAAAAAAGAAGGGAGGGGAAGGGAGCTCCCAAAAGAGAAAAACGATTTCAATAAATGTCATAAATTCACCCGACAACTTTACAAATAGCAAACTGAAAGTGCCCGGGAGAATGGGAGAGGAAAAAGAGGAAATGGTTTCTTTCCATTCCTTATTTTTCCCATACCACTTTTCCATCCTGACCAGACCAGACCCTCCCCTTCCCCTGCCTTCGTCTCCTGATTATCGTCTGTGCTTTGCTGTCGGCTTGTAATCGCTTTCATTACGAGCAGCAACACCACCAACAACAAAAAAAGCTGACCAAAAATAATAAAAAAAAATGAAAGAAAAATAAGTAAAATGCAAAATGGGATGAAAATGGAAAACCAACATTGCCATTTCAACAAAGAAAAAGAAAGAGACCGCTTGCCGAATGAAAAAACTAAAGCTTTCACTTTTTCACTTTTTGGCTGCCTTAAGTTGTGTTTTTTATTTGTTTTATTTTGTAATGATGCATTTAAATGGTTGCCTTATAAAGTCTATAGCAGTAGAATATATCCTTAATATAACTTTTATGCGCATATATCCTTAACACTTTGCTGCGGTTTAAGTTCACGTTTTTTGTTCCCTTTTCTTTCCTGTTCTGTTCTCTCTTTTTTTGCGGCAACTGCAGAAATTTGGGCCACAACAAAGCCAAAGATGTAAAGTGGAAACACTCATGTACATATGTATGTATGTACGAGTATATATGTATAAACATATGCACATACATACGAGTATAAATATAATATATATATGCATATTGTAGTACATCTGCACATTGTTATAGGAGCAGGCTGCTATATGACCTGATTGCGGTTATGCGTTCAAGACTTGGGTAAATGTTTCGGGAAATGAATGAAAAGGGAAACAAGACAAGATAAAAATTAAGACAAATTACTTTTTGATATCCCCCATTAAATCGTTCAACGTGAGCTTTAAAGAAGGATAAAGAAAATAATAATGTTGGCAGAATTCATAGGAAAAGATATCCACTAAGAAACTTAAACACACATATAACACAATCACACAATCACACAATAAACAATATATCTAAAGCCTTCAGGAAGTCGATTTAAAAAATGAATGAATGGAAATCAACCAAAGAATTTTATCTTTGAATGGTAATGTGAATGGAACGTGTGAGTCGCTTCTGTGGACGCGACTCTACTTTTATACCCGTACTCAGTCAGTATATAAATGTAAGATATTATTTAGGCATTATTATTTAATTTATTGATATTAAAACGCGGTGCAAATGGTAAAAATACATAATTGGGCTGATTTCTGCTGTTGCTGTTCCACGGTACGTCCGGCTGCTTCAATTCTCTTCTTACTACTCTGCTTCTACTGATCTTCTTCTCTGCTGTGTTCTTTCTCTGCCTTCCTCTTTATTTTGACTATAATAATGATCCGATCTGATTCAAATTCGGCTATCTGGTAGATATGGTCATTCTTTTCAGTTTTATCGTATATTTAAAATGTTCTTCCTTTTTGGGGGCGGTGCGAAATTTTGAAATACACTTGTAGCAGTGTGATATCACATGAGTCTGGAAACCAAATTTGGTTGCTATAGCTCTTATAGTCTCTGAGATCTGGACGCTCATCGAGACGGACGGAGGGACAGACGGACAGACAGACAAGAATATATATACTTCATGGGGTCGGAAACGTTTCCTTCTCTGCGTTACACACATCCACTTTTACCACAAATACAATATACCCCTTAACTCTTTGAGTACGGGTTTAACAATAGAATAGAATAGCTATACGAATATTTGTATGACTAGAGGCTTTACAATTATTTTACATTTTCGTTGCCATTTGCGGTGATCAATTAAAGTAATTACCGAACAGAGAGCTCCCCAAGGCAAACAGGAATAAAATGCGATATAGTGACGGGTAAATGGTAAATACTCGTAGGAATGTGTGGCATGCCACCTCTGGGCATACAAAAGGAGTTTATGTGGTATCTCGATGCATCGCATCGCATCGCTGCAAATTTGCTAACATTATGCTCCCATGATTTTAGTTCATTTTTAAATTAAAATTGTCCTTTTTTGTTGTATTTTTATATTCGTGTATATTGTGTGCCATTATTTGCCTGCTTTGTGCGACGGAAATTGCAATATGAAACTGCAGATTGCATTGTCATCAGAAAAATGTTGAAATTGTCTCGTTATATTCCTTTTTTGTTTTTTTTTTTGTGCTTTATTTATTTAGCTGTTGTTTGCCACTTTTTCCTGCTTCAATGCTAGGTTATAATTGGCCGATTGGCAACGCATAAATGCTGTGGCTGTTCCTTGGCTGTTGGTGAAATTAGATAAATTAGATAAATTAGACAAGACCAAAATACAATCTATAAACACGAAATCCATTACTAAAGGTGGACTGATTGACACCGAGGCTGCTGCTCGGCTTCTCCGCTACTCTGCTGTTCCGATAGTCTGCTGCTCCGATGACGTTGACGTCAGCTTCAGCTTCAGCGTCAACCTTCGCAGAAAACTAAAAGAATTTGGTTCAAGTGCCAAATGAAATATTGACTAGGCAACGGGGCAGAGTCTCGGCGATAGCCACACCGAGTGGCTGAGACTTTGGGGCATATGGCGGCGCGTGTGTGACCATCGCCATCCACCAGCCCCTTCTCCTTCTCCTCCACCACCGCTGCCGCCACCTCCTCCATGGAGGGGCCCTCTTATCCACCCAGTCAACCCAATCACTCACACACACTCCCACACCGATGGAGACGACTATCATGTTGTTGTTCTAAAATAATAATAAACATGGCAAATATTTACTCCTTATAGACCACAGGGTATCCGGGGGCATATGGGAAGTGGGAAATATTATGCTGTTGCTTTGGTAGAAATCAAAATGATCAAAATGGACTTCACTTTACACTTTCACTTCATATGGATATACATATAAATCAAAAAACATATCTATAACATTCCTTAAATGAGTTATAAGCCCCATACTACTTAAACCAAGACATAATGTTCTATGAGCCTTTTAGTCTTCTGACTTGCTTAAGATAAATTAAGTTCCAAGCTTTATTTTATATATTTATTATTATTGCTTGTTATTTTTATTAATTTTTGTATTGCATTATTCTGGTGTATGTACGATGTACATCTGAGTGTGATCCATATTTTGTTTCTCTGTAGGGTTAACAGGGTAGCCATTTGGCCGATTCCTTGGAAATCCCTGCCCGAGACGCGTGCTTGCGTCGCTCGTCAACTCTTGTGGTTGTTGCTGCTGCTGCTGCTGCTGCTGCTATCGCTGTAGCTTTAGTTGTAGTTGTAATTGTAGTTGTAGCTGCTGGCGACAACTACATAAACAGCTGTCATGGCCCTGCGAGCAATGCAGTCGCTGCTCTGCCGCTCTGCTCTCCTCCGGCTAGTCTAGTGGTCTCTGCTCTCCTGCCCTCTCCCTCTACCACTATACGTACTCTATGGCTTGGCACTGGCTGGCCTCGCCTCGTGGCGTCTGCCTCTTTCTAATAATAAATTGCCGAAGAATTTGTGTTTGCCGTGGGGCTGACTGCTGCAGCAGCAAACATGTCTGCCAGCTCTTCTTCATCGCAGTCTTCTGGTCTGTTCATACCTGGTACTCCCACAGACGATGGGGTGTGCTGTCTCTGTCATAAGTAGCGGACAGAGTGAACAGAATGAGGAATATACTAGTTCTTTTTTATGGTAGTTACATTTCTAAGGAACTACAGAATGAGAAGTATTGGGTATCCTGTGTTCGTAGCGATGCAACTTGTTCTACTGCCCTCCGTGCTGGTATTTTATATGATTTTTATATTCATTTATTACATGTCTCTGCTCTACTCTGCTCTTCTCTGCTCACCATCCCGATACCATCTGAAAGGTGCAATACGAGTACAAGAAGCATTTTCCACTTTCACTTTTCTTAGCTTTTCTTAGGGTTCTGCTCTGTTGTCCCTTCCTCCCTTTATGCACTGCACTGCTTATGCGGCCTTTCATCCGCGTCTTTGTCTCCATCCCCGTCTGTCTCTGGCGATAATAAGCTTTAACATGATGTGAATTTCCCAACACGCTGACAATTCTATTCGACTATAAACCTGCATGGATACACGACGCGCGCACACACACACACATGTGAGGGGAAGTGTGCCAGTGGTGCTGTCAAGGTTAGGCACAGTGTCCGTCAATACTCTGTTGTGTATGCCCACACTTGTCGCATCTGTTCTGTGGGCCAACTGTTTGTTTCTTGGAATATCTTTAAATTAGGAAATGAGTTTCCATTCGATTTCCCTCGATGAGTTGATGGATTCCCCGGAATGCCACACACTTTCAGTTACTTTAATTCTAGTGCTCGGATTCTTCATCACAGAACCAATCATCACTTGATAATTTCAGAATATCAAATAGTTGTAGTTCGGAGAATTCCTTTTTATGTCCGCTGGCGTTCCATAAGTTCGTAGAGCAGCCAGTCAACAGCCCCTTTCTTGCCCGCTGCCAGGTTCTGCAACTCAGACGGTGCACGGCATAGGCCGAGCTTTCTCAGCACTCTGAAATTGAACACTCTCCAATTTTTGAGACGCAATGCTACGCTGCTAGCTGTGGGGTAGCAGTCCACGTTCACATGCTTGTGGCGCCTCTTGAATATCTTAGCCACTGGCAGGACATCGCTGTAGACGTCTCGTCGGGTGCGGTCGTTAAGTGTGGTGTCCTGTTCCTGTAGCCAATTGTCGAGCTTGGATCTCTCGTTCTCGCTCAGTTTTCGAATGTGGGACATGATTAGTCCGGGTTGTTTTTTATCTTACCTAAACTAAAAATTGCCAAATAATTTTATTAAAATTTTTTTGTTTGATTTTGATTAGCCCATAAGTTCTATAAAGATTTGTACGGGTACGAGTACGAGTATGAGTATGTTGGAATATTAATTTATCTGAGCATGCTGAAAAAGATTACTAGATGTGTGGGTCATTTGGACTACAAGTTTTACTTTTCGAGAGAATATTCTTAGTTTTGAAATCATTTTGTCACAGGTGTATATGTACAATGTGTACAATTATGGAGTTTAGGTGAAGATTCGATACACCCCATTCAAAATATACGTTATTGATCCATGGAATGAGGCAGCGATTCCTTTGGCCACAGCTACTTCAGCTGATTTGATGGGACTTGCGTTTAATTGAATTTCGAAAATATATGAACCAAATGCCAAAAAACAAGCAGGAAATAAAATTTCAAGTACTCATTCCGCAAATTGTGGGCATTTTTGTTGCTGTTGCCACAACAGCGAAGGGGAAATAGGATAAATGAACTGAGCGCCGCCAACTTTTTCCGTTGAACGTTTTTCAATTGCTCCAAAAACTATTTTACTTGCGCCCAACTTTCACTTGCAAATGGAAGCAAACTTTCGACGGTAACTGTATGTGTGGCGGGTGTCGGTCTGTCTGCGCCATTTTCCAGTGCGAGATATTAATTAATAATTGAAATAGCTGGGCTCGTTATAAAGTGCGGCACTTTGGGCCTGAATACCCCCCTTGGCACAGCACAGCCTCGCCCAGCCCAACTCCGCTTCCAGCCCCGCTCTCAACTACCCCCATGGGCATGTGTATGTGCATATGTGCGTGCACTTGCAAGTTTAATTTAAAGTTTAGTTGTAATTTTGTGCATTTTTCGTTGCGAGCGCAATTAAAAATTCAACGCGCAATATGCAAAATGAGCCCAAAAACACCAGCAATGAAAACGGGGGAAAGCCCGCAATAAAGGAAGACTAACTTCAGGGCCCCAAGGATCTCAGGCCCAAAAGCCCTCTATATCCCCTCTATAGAAGATGATGGAACGGCCGCGAGGGCTGCATCTCAGGGCAGGCTTTCCAAACATGAAATTGTGTCTAGCCACGCCGAGCAATATTCGGTGGGGTGGTCTGGTCTTCTTCGCTCTTTAGTTACGAATTTATCCTATTGATCTTGATATCAGCAGCTCAAATAATTTATGATAAATCTCTTTCAATTTTTGCAGAACTATTCGTTGACTTAATCCGAACTCAAGCTGGAAAATCGAAGATTTTCAATAGAAAGAGACCAAATAAATGAAACATTCGACCACCAACATGGCGTATGATTAACATACGCATTTTTTGTTCGCCGGGATTTCTGTGGTAAGTGTTAATTATGCTTATTAATGAATGCCACAAAACTATCCACGAAACTCAGCAAAAACTGGCAACCAAGCAGCAAAAACTTAAATATCGACCGCAGCCGGATGCTGGTTCGATGCCTCATTGTAAATGCGATTTTTAACGCCCCATAAATTAAATAGCAACAAAAAAATTGCCCTTGTTGGATTAACACACACATACCGTTTTTGTTTTTGTTTTCTAATGGGTAGCGCGAAACGAAATAAAAGGAGAATTCGATTCAAAAACTGTTTCTAACTACGTTTAATATGGTTATTGAGTGCTCAACTAAATTTCTATAGCTACTTATTAAATATTTTTCACGCTACGAAACGCTGTGGGATACAGCACCTGCAGAAATGCAATACCTTAGTGCCAAGTGTAATTTTATAATTAATAAAAACAATTATTATTAAGTAATTTGGTGAGCTACAACAAAGTTGAGTTGGATTTAAGCTTCAAGGGCTTGGAAAATTGTTACTCTGATAGGTTTGAATATACTATGCATACTTACATATGTATGTACATATGTACCCACATCTAGTAAGAAAGGGAATCATCGACAGATACTTTGTTCATGCTAATCAATATATGTACATAAGTACAGTTTACATAGGAAGGAGTCTTGGAACTTGGAAAATATCATCTAGTCGTTTCTCTCTGTTTTATTCTCAATAATATCATGAGCTCCATAAATTTAAATGCATTAATCACAAGCACGAGCAGACAGCACGAAATATCACTTGTTCTGCCACATGAATCTTTTTTCTAGAAATCAAGCGACCCAATATTTAATTCGTTTAACTTAATATTTAACCAAAGCTGATATTTGGCCTTTGGGAGTGCCACTCCCGAAACATCAAGTTGCTGCAATATTCGTACTTTAGACTTAACGAATAAACCTTTACTGACTTATCGAATCTCTTTGCTTTGATTTATTGTTTGATTGTTTGATCGCTGCTCTCCGGATACACGGCTGTTATTTCGGTATTTCGGTATTTCGTAGACTCGTATTCGCCCAAATGGCCAAAAACAATTCACTCGCCACTTTGTGCTCCATGCAAAAATGGATATGTGAATATACTCGCATGAATGTATGGAAAAGGCTCGTCGAGTCCTTGCCAAAAGCTGAACGGAACGGAACCAAACCACCATTTTGCATTTAAAGTTTTTTGCATTTTATTGCGTTGGTCCGTTTTGTTGGTAATGGGATGGGGTATCCTTAGCCGCGGTCCTTCCATGTTGTTTCAATTTCTCTCTTTATTTGTACCCTCGTTACTCGTGGAGTGCTAGGGTACACTGGATTAGAGTGGTTGCATGGGAGGCAGCACAGGCAGAAGAATGTGCTTTCGATCCACGAATGGCTTTTATTCGAGCCTATAGTCGATGAGGACAGTCGATTGATTTCAAGTTGGTAGTAAGCCTTTTAATGAGTTCAAAAATGGGTCTTGGTGACTTATACGAGGGCCGTATAAGTTCTGTGACTCATGTGATACCTTTTTGTACTTTATGCATGTTTTGACAGGACTAGCGGGTATCCCATAGTCGGAAAACTTGACTTAACGTTCTTGCTGATATTTTTGTTGTTGTATTTTTTTCGTGGTCGCCGAATGCCCAAGTGAAATATGATAAAAGTCTGAAGCGACGCAGAGCAGGGCGATGCGCTGCTCCACTCTGCCCCGTTCTGTGGCGCTTTGCGTTTTGATTTGTGTTGGTGACCGAAAAAAAAGCAAGAGAAATGTGCAAAAATAAAAAACAAATTCATGCAAAATGCCGCAAACAAGCGAGGCGAAGAGCAACGACAGCAATGGAAAAGGCAACACGCTAAAAATCGACAGAAAAGTGAAGAAAGAAAATGATACGAATACGAATATAATAAAGCACAATCGGATATGCGATAATGCCTGGTGCAGCCACCCAATGCCCCTTAAGTAGCCGCCACAGCAGCAGCAGTAGACTGAAAGTGGAATCTCAATGCAGGAAAGAAAAAGAAGGGACATGTGAATGTGAATGTCAGAGATTGATTGATGGAAATAGTTTAGTTAAATTTGATTCAGAGACAGAGATTCCCTCTAGATTATTGTACTTTACATTCAAGTTATAGTATATATTTATATTTATTTGTAAGCAAGCCCAAATGATATGCGTCGTACATAAAGATAATTTCAAGCATTCATAAAATATAGTTCCACTTGTATTTGATATCACGCGTATGCCAAACTTAAACAAGAATGCCAAGCAGACATCAAACGCAGTTCAAAGGTACATTAATCCAAAAAAAAAAGCACACTTGAAGCGAGCATCACCGCATGAATAACCACTTGGCACCACTTCACTTACCCCGGTTGATTTAGTAACTTTCAGAGATTTCAGATTGGCCTGCCCCCTCCGCCGACCCCATAGCGGAATATCATGGATGCTTATCGACAAATAAATTCTTTGCCTTGTCAAATACAAATACTGCCTGCCTGCTCCTGTTCCTACCGTTCTCGAGTTCCTGAACAGGAGGGGTTCGCTCTACGGCGGGTCATAATAAATAGCCTGACATAGTAATGCCACAAACACTAACTCACAACTGTCGCACTGTTGAGTTCGTGTCCTCGACCGAAAAGTTAACGCCTATAAAAGGGATATAGATGTGCACCAAAGCTGTGTCCCACTCTGACTCTGGGGCCCCCACTGGTGGCACCCTCGTCGAGAGTGTTGACAAATTTATGAGCTTGTTTTGCTTTTTCGCAATTTTTGTTTGGCTGATTGAAAGTTTTCCTTATTTTACTGTCGGCCAAATTGATGACCATTCGAGGAAGAGTGAGAGTCACACCCACCAGTGGTCGGCTAGACAGCTTATTCGATTTTCTTCTGCGTACACACACATAAATACGAGTATGTATGTATATACTATCAATAGATTGATTGACTGGCGTAACTAAATCAAAGCGCAGCACAACATAGTCAACTTCTCAAATTTTTCCTTATTGATTTGGAAGACTTTTGCTACGGTTGGGGCTGCTGATGTATCTCTATAAAGGATAGAGATTCTTCTTCTTTTTGGAAGCTTAATCCATGTCATGAATCCATGAAGGTCTGTGTTGGCATATGATGGTCCGTTGTATTAGCAGAGACATTGCAGAAGGGTTCCAATCGTCCGACGGCGTATGCTGTGCTGCTCTACATGATTGAATATATGGGACTGATGAACAGATAAACAACACTGCATAGGACAAGCGGTAACAGCTACAAGTACTTAGGAAATTTCTGAAGTGCAGGATCCTCAGACGAATTGGCATTTTATCGTGCAGCGTAACCAAGAAGGCGATCTTGTAAGACTTTCTGGCAGAGGAGCAAATAAGTCCAATAATGAAATTCGAGAAGACACCTATGTACCTACTTAGAGACTTGTGACGTGTTTATTCACGAACTACTGATGCACGGTGGCAATTGGCCTGCGCGACTGGGCGTTTGCTATTCCGTTCAACAGGCCAACCGTTATCTATCGTTGTCGTTGGTTGTCCGGATTTTCTTAAAGCGGATTTTCTTAGCAAGGGCTATGAAACAACGAGATCAATACTAATCGTTTTATGGCTATGAAAAATTTTTTTATTGCTTTGATTATTATACATATGTATATACAAATCTACTTTACTTTCCATTGATTGACTAAATCGAATATGTTGCAGGTCTATTGAAATATTCTGGTTTGACTTGTACGAATTTGGAATATAAAGATAGTTGGGGCGCGATAGAACAGTTGATGCTGGATCATTTTCATTTCCATTTCAATTCAATGTGGGATATCTACGTTACTAATTGCGCATAGCCAGGCAATTGGTAACCTCGCTGCTTTGACGACAAGTCTTCAGCTGACGGTCGAACCACTGTCCGAGAGGACAGTTCTGTCGCCTAGATCTCTGCCTGTCGCACACGTAGTAGTGGCGACAATGGCGGATGTCGGCCAGATAGGTACCGTCGTCCTTGCCGCGACAGTCGTGACGGGAGAACAGCATCTGGACAAGAGCAACCTTCTCGGTATTGTCGTTGTTGCCATTGTAGACGGTGGGGCCGGAATTTTCGTTATTGGATGGGGCTGGTGTTGGACACGGAGTGGTGATTGTTTCCGTACATGGTGCCTGTGTTGTTGTACAGGGTGGCCTTGTAGTTGTACAGGGTGGTCGTGTTGTTGTACAGGGGGGTCGTGTTGTTGTACAGGGTGGCCGTGTTGTTGTACAGGGGGGTCGTGTTGTTGTACAGGGGGGTCGTGTTGTTGTACAGGGTGGTCGTGTTGTTGTACAGGGTGGTCGTGTTGTTGTACAGGGGGGTCGTGTTGTTGTACAGGGGGGTCGTGTTGTTGTACAGGGTGGCCGTGTTGTTGTACAGGGTGGTCGTGTTGTTGTACAGGGGGGCCTTGTAGTTGTACATGGTGGGCTTGTTGTAGTCGTTGTAGTTTCTGTTGCACAGGATGTTGTCGTTGTTGTTGTTGGTTCACAGGGAGTCGTTGTAGTCGTAGTTGTTGTTGTGGTCGTAGTCGTTGTCGTAGTCGTTGTCGTAGTTGTTGTTGTGGTCGTTGTCGTAGTCGTTGTCGTAGTTGTCGTTGTCGATTCACAGGGAGTCGTTGTAGTCGTAGTTGTTGTTGTGGTCGTAGTCGTTGTCGTAGTCGTTGTCGTAGTTGTTGTTGTGGTCGTTGTCGTAGTCGTTGTCGTAGTTGTCGTTGTCGATTCACAGGGAGTCGTTGTAGTCGTAGTTGTTGTTGTGGTCGTAGTCGTTGTCGTAGTTGTTGTTGTGGTCGTTGTCGTTGTCGTAGTTGTCGTTGTCGATTCACAGGGAGTCGTTGTAGTCGTAGTTGTTGTTGTGGTCGTAGTCGTTGTCGTAGTTGTTGTTGTGGTCGTTGTCGTAGTCGTTGTCGTAGTTGTCGTTGTCGATTCACAGGGAGTCGTTGTAGTCGTAGTTGTTGTTGTGGTCGTAGTCGTTGTCGTAGTTGTTGTTGTGGTCGTTGTCGTTGTCGTAGTTGTCGTAGTTGTCGTTGTCGATTCACAGGGAGTCGTTGTAGTCGTAGTTGTTGTTGTGGTCGTAGTCGTTGTCGTAGTTGTTGTTGTGGTCGTTGTCGTTGTCGTAGTTGTCGTTGTCGTAGTTGTCGTTGTCGATTCACAGGGAGTCGTTGTAGTCGTAGTTGTTGTTGTGGTCGTAGTCGTTGTCGTAGTTGTTGTTGTGGTCGTTGTCGTAGTCGTTGTCGTAGTTGTCGTTGTCGATTCACAGGGAGTCGTTGTAGTTGTTGTTGTGGTCGTAGTCGTTGTCGTAGTTGTTGTTGTGGTCGTTGTCGTAGTCGTTGTCGTAGTTGTCGTTGTCGATTCACAGGGAGTCGTTGTAGTCGTAGTTGTTGTTGTGGTCGTAGTCGTTGTCGTAGTTGTTGTTGTGGTCGTTGTCGTAGTCGTTGTCGTAGTTGTCGTTGTCGATTCACAGGGAGTCGTTGTAGTCGTAGTTGTTGTTGTGGTCGTAGTCGTTGTCGTAGTCGTTGTCGTAGTTGTCGTTGTCGATTCACAGGGAGTCGTTGTAGTCGTAGTTGTTGTTGTGGTCGTAGTCGTTGTCGTAGTCGTTGTCGTTGTCGTAGTCGTTGTCGTAGTTGTCGTTGTCGATTCACAGGGAGTCGTTGTAGTCGTAGTTGTTGTTGTGGTCGTAGTCGTTGTCGTAGTCGTTGTCGTTGTCGTAGTTGTTGTCGTAGTTGTCGTTGTCGATTCACAGGGAGTCGTTGTAGTCGTAGTTGTTGTTGTGGTCGTAGTCGTTGTCGTAGTCGTTGTCGTAGTTGTTGTCGTAGTTGTCGTTGTCGATTCACAGGGAGTCGTTGTAGTCGTAGTTGTTGTTGTGGTCGTAGTCGTTGTCGTAGTCGTTGTCGTTGTCGTAGTTGTTGTGGTAGTTGTCGTTGTCGATTCACAGGGAGTCGTTGTAGTCGTAGTTGTTGTTGTTGTTGTGGTCGTAGTCGTTGTCGTAGTCGTTGTCGTTGTCGTAGTCGTTGTCGTAGTTGTCGTTGTCGATTCACAGGGAGTCGTTGTAGTCGTAGTTGTTGTTGTGGTCGTAGTCGTTGTCGTAGTCGTTGTCGTAGTCGTTGTCGTAGTCGTTGTCGTTGTCGTAGTTGTTGTGGTAGTTGTCGTTGTCGATTCACAGGGAGTCGTTGTAGTCGTAGTCGTAGTTGTTGTTGTGGTCGTAGTCGTTGTCGTAGTCGTTGTCGTTGTCGTAGTCGTTGTCGTAGTTGTCGTTGTCGATTCACAGGGAGTCGTTGTAGTCGTAGTCGTAGTTGTTGTTGTGGTCGTAGTCGTTGTCGTTGTCGTAGTCGTTGTCGTAGTCGTAGTCGTTGTCGTAGTTGTCGTTGTCGATTCACAGGGAGTCGTTGTAGTCGTAGTCGTAGTTGTGGTTGTGGTCGTAGAAGTTGTGGTGCATGGCGCCTCCGTTGTTGTAGTTGTTTTACAGGACGGATCGGGGGTGGTGGTCGTTTCCCGTTCACAGGGTGGCTTTTGGGTGGTTGTTGTCGTCCTCCGATCACAGGGTGGCGTCGTCGTGGTCTCACATGGCTCGTTCCACGGCTCGTCCTTTGGAGGATGAGCACCCACCGACTCCGCGCTGACACACAACGCAATCAAACATCCAATCAGCAGCAAGTTGACTTCATAAAAAAAGGAAAAAACCGTCAGAGTCGATTATTGGAGGCTGCTTCCGGGAGCTACTCACAAACTCTCATTTTAGAACTGTTTCCGTGTTAGTGGTTCCTCTACTGAAGTTTTTACTTCTCCGCTGAGAGATATAAGGTGAACTGAATTGGCAACGCCATCTGATGGGGCTTATATACAAGTTTCCTCAGACTGTGCTCTTATCGCTGACCGGAGCCACTTGAACGGTGTCAAGTGGTACATGGTGAATGGTCCACGATCTGCCGGGTGCAATCAACAAATTAAGCGAAATAGACGAAGTTCATATGGGTTAGGGTTCGTGGGACCTAGACTCGCACAAGCAGCAGCGAAAGATAAAGAATATTCGAAGTGAATTGTTTTCCGCACTCCGTAGATAATGGTTGCTGACTGCTGTGTCATTCCTAGTGTGGAACATCTTGTCCGCACTACGAATAAATTTGGAAATGGGCTGGGGACCGATTTTCTCCCATTGGAACCCCCATCTTTGCTGCTGCGTTCGAGTTTTTTCGGCCCGGCTCTGATGGTATTGACATTTGGCTTGGGTCATTTGGCATCCCATGCCGTACGCAGACTGCAAAATAGTTGAAATTGGCTGTTAACTGATTTCGAAGTCACCCCAATATCCCACTGCTGAACCCATCCCGGCCAATGGAAGTGCCAACAAGAGATTTCGGTTTATGGCCTCGCCCGGAAGTGTTAGGCCAATGGCCAAGTGACCAAAACTGGACAGACTGGACTGGACAAGTGTTGGCCATTTGGCAGCCGATAAAAATGGCAAAGAGCCTAAGGGGGCGTGTGTGTGTATGTTTTGTGCATGAGAATGTATGTGTCATAATTTTCCAGCCTTCAACACTCCCTCCTCAATACCGCCTCCTTTGCACCCCATCTACAATCAATGGGTAGGAAAAGCAGGAAAAACAAAAAGGCAGCCAGCCGCCAGAACAGCCCCGTGTATCCGTGGGATTGTCCCGGACAGGGAGTCCTTGCTGGACAGTTGGCAAAACTTTTGTAATTAAATATGGTTGTTGCAGTTAAGATTTATGAGCGAATTTTATACCTGCTACCCAGCCCAGACCAGGCGGATAGCAACGACTGTGTAATTTCCTTATTAGAAAATATCCGTATTTATATTGAAACGATCGTATTAAATAATACTAGTTATTATATTGCAGCTTGTATTATTTGTAACATCAAATTTTTGCTTAGTATTTATTCTGGTATAGTTTACCACTTGACTACATATACATATGTTTCTGTATAGTGCATACAGGGTACTGCCATCACCAAGAGTGTCATGCACAAAGGCAAATAAAGTTGCAACGACAAAAATCTGGACAGCCTTCAAGCCCTCAGGCCCATTGGGCCCTCGTGCTCTGATCGTAAATAATTATTTATTTAAAGCGTAAACCATACTCAAGCGGCGAAAATAAACAGAATCAATTGTTGTCACGTTTCAAAATGTATGCACACATCTATTTTTACATAGACATCTTTTGGGCATCATGCGGGAGGCGAATATCCCTCCCGCGTTCCCGCCTGGAGTTTGGTTGTGCACGGATACGGGTAATGCTGCGGAAATTTTTAAGTTTGGTCTTAGCTTGTTAGAAGATCCTGTAAGTGAGATCTTATATGTATATGTATATGTATGTATATCGGATTAGCATATTTTGAGCAGCTGGAATGGTTTTCAAATGATTTTCGTTGTTTTTAATGCGTATGAGTGATATTCCTTATATAGTACTATGTATGTAGCTCACCTCTGTTCCGTGGTGTTAAACTCTATTTATACTCATACATTCGGCTTTGCTCAATTTGACGCGGTTCAATGCGTTCTGTTTCATTCACTTAGCCCCCACAGCCACACCAGCATTCAAACCTCCCACTCGCATACACGACTCTGCCATTTGCCATTTGAAATTACTCATACGCCGCATGTGATGTGAATATTAAAAAGGGGGGAAAAGTTTATGATAAAGGCACCTCTCCATGTCATATTCGTATATAGTAGGTATACATATCTTCATATGTATGTTTTTATATATATAAGTAGATATACTTTGTTGGTGAAACAATCTCAGATTATGAATGAACTTTAGCCGGTTGGGTTAGATGGAGGGATATGCACAGAATAGTTGAGGAAACTAGCTCAGATTATGAATGAATCACTTTCGCCACAAGAAGTTAAGCAAGCCTCAACAAAGCCTCAACTGGAGTAAAGTTTGCAGCCAAATGGTGTTGAATACTTTAAGGAGTTTGCCTATAAACACCGTCTCAAGATCATTGGTGGTTGTGTGGGAGTTAAAGCTTCTGTTTGCCATGTGACGACCCTGAGAGTATGCTTTATCTTTAGCCACTGCCTGGCACTTAACCGGCTTGAGAGTCTTTTTGTAAATTGTGGCCCAAAATTGAATCAACAATTCTTGAAAACCCATTTCGAGCCACTCAGGCTCGAGCAGGAGAGCAGCAAATACTTTACCTCAATTATGTTAACTCCTTCAGCCTTCTTTGGAGCGGGGCTTACCTTTTGTCAGCCCAGGTTTTTCGGGACTCTTTCACTTATCGTCCGGCCATCGAAATGAATTAGTCCAACAACATAAATTAAGCACTTAAACGTTGTAAACTTTTTCCCTTCAGGCAAACTTTTTTGGGGGGTCCTGGCTCCATAAATGATGACCCCAGGAGTCGGCTTGGGGCGACAAAAGACAAACACGGCTCAATGGGAAAGCCCTTTCCCGCTTTCCCCTACGCTTTTCTCCTCTCACTCAGCACACATGCACACAGATGAAGAATGGGAAATTAAATTAAACACACTAACACACTGTTCAGCCATGTGCTTGTGTGTGTGTGTTTGTGTAAGCAAGGATTGGATTTAAGGATTGTTTGTCCAAGGACATTGTATCAACAATTTTCACTAGCAGTGTGTGGCAGCGTTTCTGTGCTACGAGGCATTGTAAAACTCATTAGTGAAGTGACCGGAAATCTTATGAAATCTTCAAAAAAAGAAGTGAATAAAACAAAACAAAAAGAAAACTGCAAAACCGAAAGGAAAAAACAGTACAAGCTAAAAAGCATCCTGGCAGCAGGATGGCTGGCGGGGAGGGGGTTCAGCCTGTGACAGGCTGGAGCAGTCATGCATGTACTTCAATTTTTCAGCAGAAATGAGTGCACATTTGACAAAACACACACACAGCAGCACAGCAGCACAGCAGCACAGCCACACAGACACTGTGTCGCTCTCGCACCTTCGGTGTCGGGCCAGTGGAGCCCTAGGAGCCGCAGGAGCCCCGAAGCCCCTTAGCCCGTAGCTGGCCAAATCCCTGCAGGACATATGTCCCTGCCTCTCTCGTACATGTTTTTTTTTTTTACCTTCTGCCGCCGGTGCCCGAGTCGGAGCCCCACCGCTTCAGGCACACGAATATATGAAAACTTTGCACAAATATATTTGTCGGTGTGCGTGACTGCGTATCTGTTTTTGTGTGTGTGTGTGTGCGTGTGCATATCTGTGTGCTTTTATCTATGGGTGTGTGCTGTCTATGGTTGCCTAATTCAAGCTCATATTTTATAGCACAGCAACAAAATCACTGCATCGGACGCAGCTACACAATTTTTGTGCCACGCCAACAAAATAAACCCTCAAGCAAAAAAAAAAAAATGAAGCTGGCTAAAAAAACCGAAAAAAATCTGTAAACAAGACAGACCTGGACAGGGAACAAACTGTGGCAGAACTACGTGAGTCCCAGCCATAATAGGGATGAGTGGAGCAGAACAGCTCAAGACTTACTCAAACGAAGAAGTTTTTCGGGTGAGGGGAATCCACATAATGAATACATAGTCTCGCCAGATGGTGAAATAAACTGAATGGAACTCTTGACATTATTGCAAAGGTTAATTTTTTTATTTTTTTGCCTATAAAGTCGATCAAGGGAATGTAATGTCGCAAAGCCAATATATAAATAATAAATAACAAAACAAATCAAAATTAATATTTAACTAAATGTAATAAGTTATGAATTAATTATTATTATTATTATTTATTATTCGTATGCAGATTGCTAAACATTTTTCATTCACCAGCAATTCGAATACTATGCAAGGCAATTATTTGATACAAAATATCAGACTATACATACATACATGCATATGTATGTACATACACATGTACCTATGTACAATTAATTCAAATACCCAATATTTATATATTAAATATATTTACATTTTCAGATTGTTTCTATATAAAACCTGTATGATGTTTTTTTGCACTATCCATTAAATGGCTCAAAATGGCTTTCGTCTATAAGTTTCATAACTTTTAATAACACACATACAAGTAGCATGCATGTACATATGTATTAATGTATGTACATTAAAAACTGTACTCAAACTAATCCCATTTCATGGGCTGAAAAAATGGGAATAAGAAAAAAATGTTTCACACCATTTAAAACTTTGTTACCCATAAATCAATACCGTCACAAGAACTGAGTTCAGTCTAACATTGATTTTCCGCTGTGTAAATTTGTAGCAATTAATTTTATAGGTCATAAATAGCTTACACATAAAAAATAACTTACAAATTCGAATCTTCTGGTACCAGAGTAACCTTGGACCCTTGTACCCTGGTAATTTTGTGCAAAATTTAATATGGTACACTAAAAGCCAGAAAAATACTTAAATGCGATCATTCTGATGTGGCCCTAAAGTCTATAGTATTTAAAAATATTTTTTTTTGCTATTGGTACTCACATTCATTAAATTTTTCAAAGAGCTTCCCTCGAACTTTCCCTCGAAATTGCAATAAAAACAGAACTGCAGAAAAACATAAAGAAATTATTATGTTTATTGTATATAATACTGTACATAAATTCGAGCACACTTTTGTATGGCAAAAGTTTGAAGAACTTTTCCTTCTCCTCCGCCTTTCATCGGAAGGGCCACTCCCCCGCACATCCAACCTTGCAAATTGTTGAATAATTGCAGTTGTTCCTTTGGTTTGGCTCTGGTTGTTGCCTGTGTTGCTGTTGTCGTGTGGCAGCTTTACCATTTTCCACGTCGGCATCGCGTTGTTTTCGCTTGCAAATTTCCAAAGTTTTTTCGCTTGTATTTTTTGTTTGCTTCTTATTTATGTATACTATTACGCACTGTACTTGTGGCGTTAAAGGGTGTACCCTATTCGTATGGATATACTCTTATGCATGTGTTGGGCTACCCTCTGCCCGGCTCGGCGTGCCGTTTCGGGATATACATCAGACTATACTGCCAGTCCAAAATCAGCAGATAGGCGCATATGTGTGTGTTGACCACACACATCGGCCTTATTCGTAAGTACTATACGGAGAGTACTTGCTGAATGCATACATATGTATGTACATAAATTATGTATACGTTTGAGAAACATGGAAAACGATCTAAGAAGCAGTATATAAAGCCAACCCACCACAACCCACCAGGCCACAGCACCACAGACAAGGGTATATGTGTATATTCAATGCAGGCTTATGTTTCTCCCCATGGACTATCGAAGCAAAGAAAAAGAAGATTTAAAAACGAATGAGTTCATTATACATAGATACATATATTATTCTTTATTAGTACATTGTTTTTGTCTTATTACTGGGGATACAAATAACGTATTTGTTCAACATATGCACCTTGGCGGCATGTTGGGCAATCGTGCTTCTGGCTTAGATATTCACGGATGCAGGCATCGCCAAAGAGGTGACCGCAGAGCAACGAAACCAAACGATGCGGTCCAGAGGGTTCCCAGGCCAAGAAACAGATGCAGCAATCCTTGTCAATGGCAGTGTTTTGATTCGCATTTTGCCGCTTTAGCGTCTGCACAGTCTGTAGCGCAGTCTCAAGAGCCTTGCCTTGCTCATCCAGGGTCTTGCGGAGCTTCTCGACCTTGGATACCTCAGCTTGAATCCGATGTACAAGCTCGCTGCGCTCAACGCAAAGACTGTTATTCGAATTTCGCAGTAGACTCAGCTTATAATTAAGCGTATCATTTAGCTGCCGCTCCTTCTTCAATTCATCTATCAACGCTGGGCGATTCATTCTGTGGATGCTTCCCTGCCGCAATGGTTGTGCGGCGGATCGGTTCCCATGAGGAAGCTGCGGTTGAGTGTACACCAGCGCTGGCATCGGCGGGTCCTGTTTCCCATTATTTGCATTTGGCACATTCCGGATCATTATAGATTACCGAGATTATAGATTATAGATTTAATAACATTTACTTGTCAACTTAGGGATGGTTCGATATGGTTGAATATATATTTGTATCCCTATATCGATATGTGATATTTTTGTGCGGCTGGGCTGTCAAATATATCGTTATGTTAACGATATTTCTGTTGGATATTTTCCAATGAAAATAAACTTTTGCTTCAACAAGATTATACGCCATGGTAGTTAGGATATTTCTGCGTATTCGTTGCTTTTGTGACTTTAAAGATAATGAATATATAACGATATCGGAATAGACGCAGTGATGCAGTGACGCAGAATAGGCGCTTACATCGGACGAAAGAGACTTGATGCTCAAATATATTTATTATATTTGTTGTTGTAGAGTTTGTGGATACAGTTGCGCTGATAGGCATGCAAGTGAAAGAATTTCTGTGAAGCGCAGAAATAATCGAATATTCCGAATAAACGCACCTTCGTGAAACAGGTTATATGTACATTTGTATTAGGTATATTGGAATTCTGGGAACACCTCAACGAAGTTGCTTAGAATAATAATAAGCTTGGACAAGTTATTACAAAAAACTTGCAAAAACGGCACTGGAAATTGCATAAATCATTTCTCACTTATAATTTTTAACTACCAATTTGGAATAGGACATTTTCTTTCAAGGAATAAATGGTTTCCAGACGTAGTCCGGTTGGCTTTTTAAAATCTAAAAATGGCTCACTCTGTTGTTAGCTTGTTCTAGGCGAGAGTTTATTTAAGTGGGACCGACCACTATCGGCTGACAGCTTTTCAGTACCCCAGGTGCGGTATCTACGTGCTTGTAGTGTTGGATAATGCAAGCAGAGACAAAGCACTTTGGACAAAAACAAACGAAAGTTGCACCAAAGGTACTTGCAGAGATGTATACTGCTGTTACAAATCTTTTGAAGGCCGAAAAAGAAGAGTGGGAACGGAATCCGATCCCGGGATTTGTCGCCGAACCGACAGAGAACGAGGATGGAACCAAAAACTGGATGGTATGGAAATGCATGATATCGGGAATGAGATCCACGCCATGGGAGCTCGGGAGCTACCACATTTTACTGTATTATAACAATCTGTATCCCGGCTCGCTGCCGCTTGTGCGCTTCCAGTCGAACATATTCCACCCGAATATTGGTTCCACTCGCTACCTCCAGATTCCCAGACTAGTGCTCGAACCGAAATTCCTGGCCCCGAAGATGGATATCAGAATGATACTGCTGGCTATCCAGCATATTCTGCAATATCCGGACCTGGCTCTGCGTGCGCGTGCAAACGCCGCGGCCTTTGACTTGTTCCTGACCAACCGGCTATGCTATAATGATCGCATCGCACGCCAGGCCCACAGGCTGCGCTGACTCGTGAGGAGATGCACGCACATAAATAGTATCTCTGCAACCCCTGCAAACTGCCTTGCCGCGCTTTTCCAAATGATGGAAAACAGCAGCCAAAAAACCTTTGTACAACAAAACAACAGATTAGTCTGCAGACCAATATTAAATTTACAAGTGTGTAAAATCCAAAAAAACGAGAAACTTCTTTTATTTGTACGCTTTGCGTTGCTTATGGATATTGCTTATTGCAGTACATATGTACATACATACATGCATACATACCGTAGGTGTGAGCGAGATAAATACATATATGTATGTATGTGTATGATTTTGAGATGATCTGGCAGCAGCGTCGCTGCTGAATTTTCATACTTGTCTGGCCTTCAGACCAGCATAAATGCTGCAGTCATTTGAAAAACAATTGCTTTGCCAGGCATTTTTGTATCGAATGGATAGATAGAAAATATCCAACTAAATAGTCGTAGTCGTAGTCATAGTACATACATCTGCATATGGGGAATTCGCTATTCGAGATCTGTGATTTTATTTACATACATATGTACGTACATATTTTCATTTTATTTGATTTTGTTGCTTTGGCTGGGCCCCGCCTCAATTTTTATTTATTTGTGCTCTGCACGTTTTGTTTGAAATTTGTTTTGGTTTTTACTTAATTCTTGAAATGTGCGCTCGTCTGCTGCACAATTGGAGTTGCAACAAACAGCGGCAGCTGTGGAGGAAACAAAGTTTTGGCCAAAGCGCTTGAATGAAGTGTGTGAAGTGGCTGAAAGTGGTGAAATGGCAGGACAGGGTTCGGTCGTTTCGGCGAGGGGCGGGGCGGGGCGGGGCGGTGAATTGGAAGTGGAAGTGCAGTCCAAGCTGAACAATTAAACTTTTGGGCCAAAGGCAGCAGCCAACGGGGCAGCAGCAGAGAGAGGATTGCAATGGACTGAACTGAACGGGAACTGAACGGAACGGAACTGAACACACATATGTATGTATGTATGTGTGTACATGCACATACACATGGAAAGCCCAAGTTTTAGTTGAGTGGAAAAACCCAAAACAAATTTTGACTCCATTGAGTTTTTATCTGTTGCCTTTATCCAAACTTTCTTCCTGGTCTTCACCTCTCTCCTCTCCTCACCTCTCCCCTACCCACCCACACACTCTTCTTCTGTACAACATTTTCTTTTTATTTTTGTATTTTGGCCAAATTGAATTGTTAAGCGTGTGGGCGTGTACGTGGGCGTATTTGAGTATCTGTTTTTCTTATTTTTCTTATTTTTTTTTTGCTCTGCGCTTTACAGATAATATTATTCGAAAAAAGTTTTGGTGCGTGACTAAGCGCTGAAAATGTTGTCCTGAGCACTCCTCTCTCTCTCTCTCTCTCTCTCTCTCTCTCTCTCTCTCTCTCTCTCTCCCTTTCTCCCTATCGCTCTATCGCTCAATCGCTTAATCTCCCTCTTCCTCTGTCATTTTTTTGGACTAGTTTGAAGAGCTGTTTGAAGTCTGTGCAGTCTGTGCAGAGAAATTGTATGGATACTTTATATGAGTTTGTCACGATGCACATATGCACATATGTATGTGTGTACATATGTATGTATGCATGTATTGATGTCCTCCAAGAGGATACTTTTCTGTCCTTCATCAGTCCGTTAAGAGTTCTCTTTATGTGCTAATTGATTTGAATGCATTTCTAATTATAAAATGCGTTTCGGCATGGCCGCCTAAAGACCTTTAACCTACTTGAAGTGAGAAAATCCCTTGAGCTTTGGTTGCATCACTTAAAGAATCCGAAAATCCCTGAGTTATTCATCAAGCTCATTTAATTAAAGTTCCCTCCTGGGGATCTGGGGCAAAGTTAATGAAAACTACACACACACTCCCACACGCATACACAAAGCATGGGACCTGGACAACCAGTTTCAAAGCCTTGCCAAGGGTATAATGGTATGAAGGAAGCTCTTGCGACACTTTTCTGCATATACACATGTACATACATATGTATCTACATATGTATGCATGAATGTAAATCAGGGGTCGGCACACAGACTCACACATTTTTTTGGTGCGTTTGTGTGCGAAAACAACAGACACGAAGTCAAATACGTTACTTATTTCTCTGCCGCTGCGAAAGCCGAAGAATTGTGCATAGGGCACACGAATGCTTCTCTGCCGCTGAGGCAAGCGGGCAGAATATGAAGCCGTTTGTGCATAGGCTGAAGCATGTTTCTCTGCCGCGACGTCAGCAGAGCAGAATTTTCTCTGCTGGTACGTCATCAGGCAGAATAACGAAACCACACGAAGTCTTTACGCTGTACGTGTGTTGACTGCGCTGCCCGAAATTTTTTCCTATGCACAGTGCATACGACGCTGCCGACCTCTGATGTAAATCAGTGGTCGGCACGCGCACGCACACATGCACATGTTTTGCAGTTTCCTAAGCACAATAGCTAGGGCAGTGCCGAGCCCTGATGTAAATACCACAATAAATCGGTATGGATATACATACATACATATGTATGTATGTAAATAAAAATAAAAAGTGTAATACAGTGCACTGGATCGAGGGTAGGGTATCTAGACCTTTGGCTTGAAGCCATTCTTCGTTTCTTAGTTAGTTGCTGAAATCGAGACAACAACTTCATGTGATGGGTGTGCAAACAAATTGAGGAATGCAACAACTACACACCAACAACAAAAGCAGCAGCAGCAGCAACAGCAACAATTGGAAGAACTAAAAGAGCAAGAACAACAAGGACAGGACATTAAAATGTATGGCCCAAGGCCCAGGGCCAGAGCGGTCCAAGTATAAGCTAAATAGATTGTCCTACCAACCCAGACAGACAGAGAGACAGGAAGACAGGAGGACAGGAGGACAGGAAGAGAGGTGGTCGAGAGACGATGCTGATGAAGAAGGTGAGCTGGAGATGGAGCCGGAGAAGAGAAAGATGAGCAGGGCGAGGGTTAGCTGCTGATGAGCAGACAATGGGCCAAAAGTGCTGAATATGCCTTACAGGTCATCAGGTTACCCCTTACACCACACACCAAACAGTCCTCTGCTCTCTCCTCTGCTCATTTCAGTTCAACCCACTTAGGAGGAGTGACAGAGAGGCGTAGAGTGGCGGAGGGAGGCGGACAGAGTGCGAAAGCACAAGGAGAAGAGGAGCGGTGAACATTGATGTATATCCTCACTCGGGGCTAATTGAATGGAAAGGTCTGCTGCGCTATCCGACTTCCCTCTCCCTCTCCCACTCTCTCTCTGTGCCCCTTTTCCCCAATCCATATCCATATCCTTTTTCTGCCCTATGTAGCCCTCTATTTTGCTCTCGTTTGCGGCCCCACTCTTTATGTTCCATTTCCCTTCTCCACCCGCATTTCATCCACAAAAAGCAATTTAGTTAGCACCTGGAAAATTTGATTAGCTTCCATCCCATGGATGCCGTCCTGTCTGTGTGCTTGGGATAATAATTCGTAAATGTTGGATTGTAGCCCGTTCGCCATATGCATTTATGCATTTATAATTGCCCAGACAAACGGTTTATCAACCGCCAAATACCCACACCCTCCCCCACCCAGACCACACACATATGTCTGTACATATGTACGTATGTAGATACGTTGGTATTTATTTGAAAATTCATTGGATTTTTCAGTCGGCGTCCCTGCACAGGGGCATTATAATTTGTGTGTGGCTTTTCATTTTTAATGCCCAACGAGCGAGCATTGAATTTGTTTTCGGCCAGCTCAAATGTGCGAGTGGGAAATGTAAATGTGTAAGGGGGATGGATGCAAACCGAACGGTTCCCCTAGTTCGTCAAAGCCACTATGGCTTTTCGATACACAACCAAAGTTAAAAAAAATCGTAATTAATAACAAACCCAAGTCGAATCCGCTCCGACACTGGAGAGCACGTTTCAAGTACTTTTCTACAATGCCATAACACTGTACATGTAGCACGTGGCAAGTGTTGCTTACTTTGTGTGTGTCACACCTTCCAACACAGTTTCCAACACTGTACATTCGTGGCACATGTCTCGAATTAAAATATTGTACACATTAACAATACAAACCGAACCTAATCATGTGGAAGATGCATATATCCGTGGCTGACATTCAGCAAATTATGGAGGAGGAGCTGAAGGAGCGGCTGGATAAGGGATAGGATAGGATAGGGGATAGGGGATAAGGGATCTGCAATCGATCGAATGCTGTCCTGTCCGTAAATAAGTCGATTTCAACATGCAAAAGTGAAATCTGGTTTGGAACAAGTAAGAACAAGTAAGATTCCCATTTGGTGGGCGCATTCACATATTTATTTATTTTGTTTGTTTTTGTTGAAGCAGATTCAAACTACGTACATATGTGTGTACATACATATGTATGTATTTATGTACATATCACCTCGAAGGCAGGCAGGCAGGCAGGTAGGCGGCGGCGGCCTTTACCTGCTGCACACGCAACCGCAAGGCAACGATCAGTGCAAGCAACCGCAGCAGCAATAATTTGTGGGCTGTGCCTCGTTTGTTTGTGGTTTAGTTAATCATCTAAATATGCATGTGGCTCGGTGCCACTTAATGGCATTGCCACCGCCACGGGTTTCCAAATACTGTCTATCCACACCAGCATGTGCCAAAAGGACTCACTAATTGCTGAATGGCTCAATGGTCCGCTACTACATACGGACAAGCACAAACGCTTCCTGTTATGTGATCCTTCTGCGAGCTTCGCTTTCGCTGGATAAAAGTCTAAATACACAACACACAGCGACAGTGCCCAAACCAGGATGAATTGGCTCAAACAGATCTCTCAGAATTCTGTCTATCTGTCTATGACATACATACGTAAATTTAATTTAATTATATGTATGTATATTGCAGGTACAAAACGACTGGATTTATTTAATACCTAAAGAATACTTCAAGGGCTTTATGCTAAGACTAAGGGCTCAGACAATTATCTCCAAAGAGTGGAACAAATTGATTTTATTAAAAATTATATAACTAATCCAATCCTCAATCGAGCTATAATTAACAAGTTCGCCTGCGCGGCTTAATCAGCCAATGATTGCGTCCCTTAGTATCCCAATTTGGGTGCTGTAGCATAAAGAAGTGAAATGAAGAAAATGTCTGTCCTGCGATTAAATTTGATTGTCATATTTGAATGGGTTTTTCACTCTTTCACGAATCTCTTTCTCTCTGTGCTCCTCCAAATCCGATTATGCGAACAAAACGCGTTCCATCCGCGAATTACATTCGAGGGACATAAAATGCAACATTATTCTTGTGGCCGTTGACGTTCGAGAGAGAGCGAGAGGAAGAGTGTCTCCTCCCTCGCTGCTCGCCACTGACATTCCGTGTAAAAGCCACATAATATTACCCCACTGTCACAGAACAGACCAGACCAGCGACAACCCTTCACATGTATGTCCAGCAGGCGGGCCAGGCGGCCAGAGGATACATATATCCGACAGCAAAAAAATCCGCTGGCATTTGTCGTATGAAGTTGTGGGGTTCTGCGGGTTCTGAGGGGCATGGAAACTGCTGGCATGGGTGAAGCTATAAAATACGCGAGCTTTTATTTATAACGACATCAGAAATTAATCTTGCATTATGTGTGCGCGTGTGGAGTTCGCTCCTTTCAGCTTATCCTTTTCATGAAGTTTGTCGTACAGTCGCTGACACATACTTATACACCTGTTTATCCTCCACATTCACACAGGCGACCAAAGTGTCACTTCTTAAATGGTAATTTCAAAATAAAACGAGCATTCGTGGAACGTGCAACTTGATGTAGTTAAATCTTTTTCAAAACATTACTGATTGCTCGTACTCAGTCCTGTACAGCTGTTAGATGAAGGTGGGCGCTCCAAGACGCCAACACGTCCCCTTGGCCAGCATTAGGATGGTGCCGGATAGTCGCAATTGCCTGCAATGACGCCCTGAATGCCTCCCAATCTGACTGGTTCTTTTCGCCCGCAATTTTCTGTGTTCAGCCAGGAGCAGAACCTGCTTCTGATCAATCCATTATGTATACGTACATACATGTGTAATGGATCGATCAAGCATAAAAATGAATTTGTGGAAGAACCTTTGCTATTTTGGACAATTTTTGTTTAGTTATCCTCCGCTTTTATTCGGTAATGCTACCATTAAATAGGGAATCTTCTTAGTCGAATTTTAGGTGAATTTTTATTTGAATCGAGTAAACGATATTTGATATTCGAGTCATTCTATGATCTTTCTACCATCTCGTTTTCCACAATTCGCTCTGCAAACTCTTGTCTGGTGCGTGCGTGTGTGTGTTGACTGGCATCATTATACCATTGCTCGTTTGTTAGACATGTGAGGAGGCATTGTCGCTTCATCTCCATCTTCCAGGTAGATGCCCCCCAATCTCCTTCTCTTCAGTTTTTGGTGCTGCTTGGCGTGTCGTGCGGCTCCGTGTCCGGGGGTTGTTCATGAAAAATTACAACTCTTAGCATCAGGCATAACGTGCGATAAATTTCAAGGGGCCGGGCCCACCTGTACATCTGCAGGTACGAGCAGTATCTGTCTTCAGGCTGATTTTTGAAACTCCTGTGCGTGTAGGATAATTCATTGCTTATTATCTTTTTTTGGAGCTGCAATTTTTGGGACTTACCTTTCTTATTACTTCTGATTCTGTGCTCCCTCATATGTATGTGTGTATGTAAGTGTGTTCTTCCTTTCGTTTTTGTGTGTGGTAGGGGTTGGATGGAGATCTGGAGGGTAGAGTAGAGGTAGATACCAAAATGCTTTATTAATTTAGTGTGTGCCAGGGCAGGACTATCAAGATGGGTGGGTGCCCACACACCCACACAGGCTACAGGGCGAGGAGCCGGACTCTCGTAGGAGGGGGCGAGGGCGAGGGCGAAAGCGTGTTGGCCAGACAATCGAGCCTAATGATTTATGAACTAGGCGCTGAGCATAGCCGCAAGGATATAGCCTGGCCATAGCCATGGTTATGGTTATGGGCATGGGCATGGGCATGGGCTCTCTGCCAATTTTCCTTTGCCTTGGTCTGCTCCCTGCCTTTGGTGTGCTCGAGGTCTCTGTGGCGGCGTCTTCCCTGGACGCCCTGGATGATATATGATGCCGTAGTTTACCGACTGCTTAAATGAATTTTTCACACTGCAACCATTCCATGCTGTTGACTCGGAACAAAAGTCACCTAAGTGCCAGCTGGCCTGCATGAAGATGCCGTACAAAAAACGGCCCGAAAAAACCGATGAGACTGCCATGAGCAAAACGGTGACAATTATGGGTCATTTTCTCCATGTTCAAATCATCTTCGAAGGGCCCGGCCCGGCTCGGCTCGGCTCGCCCAAGAGTGGCGGATCAGAATATTAATTAAAACCCACACACAGTAAACTACACACAGCACAGTTCATTTCTAAAAAGTTTCTGGACTGAAGCGATATTTTTGTATAGAGATGACACACAATGCATCCATCGGGGCATTGTCTGGAATGTGATGGAAAAATCCCTGTGACTGACTCCATGGTACCTTCCATTGCCCGATGACGAGTAATCAATATTAAATGCACATAAATCTAATTATAAATAAAAACTATCAGCTGCATTACAACTATCGATAGATATGCAGTGCTGTAAGGAACGATCTTGCGGTAGTGTTGGACAACTGTTACTCTTTGGCAACGGCGTTCGAGAGCGCGTGGCGGCGTGCTGCGATCAACAAATTAAATTTGAACGATTAAGTCGGGACAAAATGTCTGAATTCGCTCTAAATCGATTGATCGAAGAGCGTGCGCAATGGCGACGAGACCCAATGTACGGATTTGCTGCCCGTCCCGCGAAATCGCGTAATGGAAGCCTGAATTATATGGTCTGGGACTGCATTGTACCGGGCGAGGCAGGCACGGCCTGGAAGCAGGCCCGCTACAATGTGCGGCTCATTTTTGACATCCACTACCCGGCATCCCTGCCGCAGGTGTTCTTCGAGTATCCCATCATACACCCGAATGTGGATGAGTCGGGCTACATGACCCTGCCGCACTTCGACCCGAACAGTGCCAGCTCGTCGATCAGCATCAAGAAGATTCTTTGGACCGTGCAGTGCCAGATGGACAGGCCGAACATGAGTGATCTCTCGAATGAGGAGGCCCAGTATTGGTTATCCGTCAACGCGGATGTTTACTATCATAATGTGCAGGCGCAGTCACTTCGGATGGCCGAAGAAGACCACTCGCTGCCCAACTACAAGCCGAAAAGGAAGAAAAACAAGAAAAGAAAATCAGATGCAAAGTCAAAGCGTGTACACAAGAAACGATGAAAATCGCAAAACTTAATAGACATAAGATTGGTAAATAAAAAAATACAAACATATAAATGTTACCCTTTAGTTATTTGGTCTTATTCGTACAATGCATTGTCTTTCCCGACCAAGAAAGGGAAGTAAAAGTGTTGCGAAGGTCATGCAGGTGATCGAGCGGCTGTCATCGTTGCTGCTGAATGGCCCAAGAAAATAAGTTTTGGGCCACGAATGAGAAATTGTTGCTGGTGGGGCGGCTGGGAGTATTACCAACGACTCGCATTCGGATAGCTGCCGTTGGGGACAAGTTTAAACGTTCACTTGGACGAGACTCGCATTGAAAATGCTTGCCGGTCAACTGGAAAAAAGGGTTGTGGGTGGCTTACATTTGGGCCTGGGTCTGGGTCTGGTTCTGGTTCTGCGTTTGGGTTGGTGCTGGGTGCCACTTTTTGTCAAATCAAGTGGCCACTTATTTCTGGGCGTCGTCATTAGCTTTCAACTTTTTATACCCGTACTCAAAAAAGAGTTAAGGGGTATATTAGATTTGTGGTAAAAGTGGATGTGTGTAACGCAGAGAAGGAAAATTTTCCGACCCCATAAAGTATATATATTCTTGATCAGCATCAATAGCCGAGTCGATATAGCCATGTCTGTCTGTCCGTCCGTCCGTCCGTCTTGTTGAGCGCCTGGATCTCAGAGACTACAAGAGTTAGGGTAACCAAATTTGGTTTCCAGACTCATGTGATATCACACTGCTACAAGTGTATTTCAAAATTTCGCCCCGCCTCCTTCCGCCCCCACAAAGGACGAAAATCTGTGGCAGGCACAATTTTAAAGATACGATAAAACTAAAAACGCAGTATCGTAGAGAATGCCCATATCTACCAGATTGCCGAATCTGAATCAGATCGGATAATAATTATAGCCAGAATAAAGAAATTAATTTTCTTCCCCTGCCCCCCCTCCAGCAAACGAAAACACAACTCATTTTCCTTCTCGCTCGCACACTCTGCCGCGTTCAGTGCGCGAGCAACCCCTAGCGGAGGAGATGTAGAATCTAATTGGAACATGTACAATCTACATGTTAGATGTAGAATATACATTGTATATGTAGATGTAGATATCATATGTAGCAAAAAAATGTAAAATGTAAAATTTTTTTTTTTCTAAAATTCTTAAAAATCATAAGCTCAAAAATGTATATACTGACTGAGTACGGGTATAAGTAGAGTCGCGTCCCCAGAAGCGACTCAAACGTTCCTTCTCGTTAAAATTGAATTTGGGAACATTCAACATGTCAGCCAGCCAAACGAATGGATGCAGATGCCCGTCTAGCCCTACCCTTGCTTCACTGTATTTCTCTATACCCGAAATAGCAGGCAGTCCCCCATGCTGTTGTTCTGTTGCGTAGAGACAGCAGCTTCTTTGCCGGGGAAGGGGCTGCTAGCTTCCCCACTTGGGAGTTGCTTCATGTTTTTAAGTTCACTTTAAGTAGCTCAAAGTTAGTTTTTATGCTCGGCACACGCAGAACTTGGCTATCAGTTGATAAATAGCTGCGAAAGGCTTTAAAGCCGCCATCATCCTCCCGGCTTGTGTCGCCTTCGAGCTGGTTTTAATGAAGCATTCGGCGTGCCAAGACGCCCGAATTAGCTGGGGCCTCAAGACTGCCAGTGCCAGTGCCAGTGCCACTGCTACTGCCACTGCCACTGCGACTCAGCTAAGTGCTAAGCTGCTAAAATGTCTTCATGAGTATGTTTGTACATAAATTTGTATGTATATCCATGCATAATATCTACGTATGTATATGTATGCCTGCACCCTGAGCATATAAACAAGTTAGCCCGTCCACAGAGATTCGTTATGGCAAGCATAATAACGCGCAAAAAATGTAAACATACAGAGATACATACATATATACATATGTACATAGATATAACTGTACGGAAAAGTTTCCATGTCGTTGGGTTTAACAGCTGCCTGGAATATTTTCTTAGGTCTTGTCAGATAATATTGGCCTCTCTTTCGTTCGATATAAACACCATCATTGGTACTCTCATGGACTTATTGGTAGTGGCTGCATAGCTTACATATAGTATTGCTACATTACATTTTACACACATAAAGCTTAGAACAACACATTCCAGATCGCCCAAGATCACACGCAAATTCCTACAAATTGTACGCCAAGACTTGGAATGTATTTTGGATATTGTCTGATTGCATTGGCATCAGTTATTCGTTGTTGATGGAGCATCATTAATTGTGTACATGTGTGTTTAGTTTTAGACAGCGGATTCCCTGAATAAGGATCACAATTGTTGGTTAAATGGCAACCAATGTGGCTTCTCGTATCTTAAATTGCTTACAAAATCCTTCTTGTTTTTCAAGCAAAGTGGGTGCCACAGCGAGTGTAAAATAAGTATGTGTCCATATATTCTGCATGAATATTAAGGGGAAAGCAGCAGCGGAGTTCTGCAATTAGGAGAAACATAATTGAAGATTTTTTATTATTAAGTTAACTGAAATTAATACCTGAATCCTGCGTGGGTGTATTCTTTTCCATGAGGAGCGGCTCTTATAGAGACTCTTCTTCCTCTAAAATCTTGTCTTATACGCCAAGACTTCGAATGTTTTTTGGATATTGTCTAATTGCATTGGCATCAGTTATTCGTTGTTGATGGAGCATCATTAATTGTGTACATGTGTGTTTAGTTTTTCTATAATTGTTGCCCAACCAGTACGAAGAGCAGAGGATTCCCTGAATAAGGATCACAATTGTTGGTTAAATGGCAACCAATGTGGCTTCTCGTATCTTAAATTGCTTACAAAATCCTTCTTGTTTTTCAAGCAAAGTGGGTGCCACAGCGAGTGTAAAATAAGTATGTGTCCATATATTCTGCATGAATATTAAGGGGAAAGCAGCAGCGGAGTTCTGCAATTAGGAGAAACATAATTGAAGATTTTTTATTATTGAGTTAACTGAAATTAATACCTGAATCCTGCGTGGGTGTATTCTTTTCCATGAGGAGCGGCTCTTCTTCCTCTAAAATCTTGTCTTGTACGCCAAGACTTCGAATGTTTTTTGGATATTGTCTAATTGCATTGGCATCAGTTATTCGTTGTTGATGGAGCATCATTAATTGTGTACATGTGTGTTTAGTTTTTCTATAATTGTTGCCCAACCAGTACGAAGAGCAGAGGATTCCCTGAATAAGGATCACAATTGTTGGTTAAATGGCAACCAATGTGGCTTCTCGTATCTAAAATTACTTACAAAATCCTTCTTGTTTTTCAAGCAAAGTGGGTGCCACAGCGAGTGTAAAATAAGTATGTGTCCATATATTCTGCATGAATATTAAGGGGAAAGCAGCAGCGGAGTTCTCAATTAGGAGAAACATAATTGAAGATTTTTTATTATTAAGTTAACTGAAATTAATACCTGAATCCTGCGTGGGTGTATTCTTTTCCATGAGGAGCGGCTCTTATAGAGACTCTTCTTCCTCTAAAATCTTGTCTTATACGCCAAGACTTCGAATGTTTTTTGGATATTGTCTAATTGCATTGGCATCAGTTATTCGTTGTTGATGGAGCATCATGAATTGTGTACATGTGTGTTTAGTTTTTCTATAATTGTTGCCCAACCAGTACGAAGAGCAGAGGATTCCCTGAATAAGGATCACAATTGTTGGTTAAATGGCAACCAATGTGGCTTCTCGTATCTAAAATTACTTACAAAATCCTTCTTGTTTTTCCACCAAAGTAGGTGCCACAGCGAGTGTAAAATAAGTACATATGTATGTGTGAATATATTCTGCATAAATATTAAGGGGAAAACAGCAGCGGAGTTCTGCAATTAGGAGAAACATAATTGAAGATTGTTTATTATTTATTTAACTGAAATGAATACCTGAATCATTCTTGTCATCCAAGATCATTCGTTCTCCTGCGTGGGTGTATTCTTTGCCAGGGGGAGCGGCTAGTATAGAGACTCTTCATCCTCTAAAATCTTGAGAGCCTGCAGACGCGCCTGGAAATAATACGAATCAGGTTTAGATATGAACATATCACGGGCTTCCAAATGGCTATCGTCATCTAAGTCAGGTCGGCTGAGTATGCGCTGTATGGTCGTAAGAGTATCCTTGATGTTGTGAGGCTCTCCCACCACGTCCTTCCACTCATAATTCATGTAGCCCAACTGATCGACGTTGGGGTGAAACAGCGGCACGTGAAATCGCACCATGGGCAGAAATTTTTGGGTGATAAATGTCAGTGTGAGCTGGTATCGAGCATGTCTCCATGGCGTATTGTCTTCGCCCGGAATGGTGCACTCCCAGATAAAGTAATTTGGGCTTCCACACTGCATTTTTATCGGGCAGGCCACAAAGCCATAGAGCGGGTCTTGGCGCCACAACGAGCGCTGCTCCATCAAATGCTCAATAAATATGATAATTGGTAACTTATTTGTATTTTGTGCCATCTTTCTTGACGCCTGCCTTTCTCGGCTAACAACTAATAACTAATTTCCAAAACTACAACAAGACAGCCTATTTGGTTAATCGATAGAGTCGATAGTGACGTGAAATTTATTTTACTCACCAATTCGTGGTATAACCGCTGCACGAAACTGTAGCATAGTTTGTGTATTATTTAGTTCATTATAAATAAAAATAAAGTGAAATTCTACCACGCTTTACAGAAGAACATTTACCAACACTAGATGAACGATGTGACGTCAGCCGATAGTTGAACTTGTGCAGAACTTGACTGCAGCTTTTATTAGTTTATTGTATCATTTATTTTCGTTTATTATAACACAGACCGTCACAATCGAAGTTTCTGTTTTCTGCAGGACAACATTATTATTTTTACGCTCATATAGGCTTATCTAAAATGAGTCTGGTTAGGACTAAGCACTGCTTGTTTTGACATTCCACAGAATTTGTATAATTGTCGCTAAATTGTAGCTAAAATTACATGCACATGTAGTAAACAAGCAAAGCTCAGTGTATTATTTACACGTATGCTTACATGTGTATATTTCCATTAAATTTCCACTGAACAGCTGCTAAGCATCGACACATCATTCAATGATTAAATTTGATTTCAATAACCCCATTGCATGTACTTGTGGCCCACTGTGGTCCTGTCTTTGGACAAGGGACAGATAAGGCTGAGTGGGGAGACGGCTTAACAGTGTTAACAGCATCAATAAATGTTGAACTCGGGTCTGAACTGAACTTTGCTCCACTTTTTGACTCCCACTTACATACGTTCCGCTTCCGACTGGTAACTCATTTTCCCCATCTTAGCCGACTATTATGTCATCGTCCGTTGACCATTTTCATTTGGTCTGCTGCTGCTGCTGCTGCTGCTGCTCCTGGCCAACACTAATTAGCTGACTTTGAAAAAGTAATTAAGTCATTTGTCTGCACACTCCCCAGACGTTCTCCGACCCACTTCCCAACTTGAGTGATTGTGGCCTAAGAATAGATAATTCCGCAAAGGCCATTTAGTCACTTTAGACACTCGAACAGCTCTTGGGAGAGGTTTAATCAATCAATCCATCGAAGAATCTCTATACGAGATGAGAAGAAGGGAAGGGAAGACCATCTGAAACTTGTTCATACAATATTGTTTCCTTATGAAATCCTTTTTTACGTTGTGCACGATTCTGCTGACTTTTTAATTGGAATGTTCACATAATACTCGCATATCAATATACAGAGTTCTGCCCCAGAACGGTTTGCAAAGAGTTCTAAATACTTTCCTAAAGAGTGCCGTTCTGGAGTCTGGAAAATGCCTGAAATATTACTGAATGTTATCCAAGTGCATCCATCCATCGTTTAATGTGCATCTATTCGACCGTTTATTTGTGTAACTACGAGTACATTGGCGACAAATGATTTCGATCTTTTCCTGTTACTTATGTTTAGTTTTCTCAATTATTGTTCGGATGCGGGGGCCATGTAGCCAAGTCCAGGCAGAAACAGAGACCCCGCCAACATGAGCAGCAACAACGGCATTGGGATTCTGGTCTAAGGAGAAAAACTGTTTATTTAATCTCAATCATTGCGTTGGTAAAAACGATTGATGTTGGGGTGGAAAATCTCGTCGATGAAGCGCACCGAAGGCAGAATATTAGTGGTGTCGAAAGTCAGTTCAAGGCCGTATCGAGCATTTGTCCATGGCGTATACTCTTCGCCAGGCACGGTGCAATCCCAAAGGTAATAAATTTCTTTCCTTTGTCTTTGTCCTCTTTTGCGGGGCTTTGCGCCACAGCGAGCGCTGCTCCACCAAATGGTTCAAAAGGTTTTGAGCACTACAACACTTGACAGCGTTTTTGGTTACCCGATACAGTCGGTAGTCAGTGAAATTAAATTGAAATTGCTGCACCTATTCATATGCCCGCTGTATGATTTTCTATTTTATTCTTTATTTGTTACAGCTCTGAATTATTTAATTAAAGTTTTGTCCACGCCTGGTTCGGTGACAGAACATTTTGCAACACTATAATGTACGAGAACGATATGACGTCAGTCGATAGTTGAACTAGTTACTGCACATTTTATTTGCCCATTTACTTGCTTGTTTATTGTTTATGTTTTAATTATAACACAGGCTGATAAGAACAAACATTCTGCATTCTTCAGGGCTACGATATTTTATTAAAATTCAAATCACTTAAATATCGCCTAAGACAGCCCCTTAAGACTATCGTGGCCTTCTCCTTTCTCCTTTCATGCCTCCTCTCCAATGTTGCTCTTTGAGCTTTTCGGCTCGAGTTGTTTGACACTTGTGCTGGCACTCTTGCTGTTGGTATTCATGGCGTCTGTTCTTGCCTTTTTATGCAGAATTTGGCTTAAGCCAGTGCCAGGCCAGAAGGCCCACAGCAGCAGAAGCTGCAAAGAGGGGAAAATAAAATAAAATAAAATAATATAAAACAAAATAATATAAAGCAAAGTTGAGCAGAATCATGGACTCAGCTCAAAGGCAGGGCCAAGGGAGCAGCCAAGGCAACAGACAAACCAGAACAACAAAAACAATGAAAATATATTCCCAGGAAACATACATACATACACATATGCATACATAAATGTACGCATAGGGAAGCCAAAAGAGCTGACGGATTTATTACACTGTCAAACAGAAGTTTGATATGTGAACTTGAATCATTTAATCATATTGCATTTGTCATTCGCAAATTGATTGAGGCCCTCGAACATTGTCTCCGATCTCTAGGGAATTCATTGAACGAATGGGGAATCTCCCCTTACGGGCAGATACGCGTCGTATCTCGATGATTGACAAACGAAAAACTCGTATTGAGATAAGAAAGTCCGTCCATAGATACTCACAAAAATGCCAAAAATATCTCTGTGTTAACTAATGAAATCAAATCAATCTCAATCTCTGGGTTTGAGTTGCACGCCCGCACACACACACATACGCACACACACACACACACACACGGAGGAGGAGGATATGCGTGCCTATCTATCGACTATCTCCCTGACAGCATCCACATTTTGTGTGTCAGTGCAGTGTGTGGCTTTAGAAAAATCTGTGTAGGAAACCCAAACTTGACCCAGCTGCTATAAATACAAATTGGATAAAATTGCAGTGCGTGCCGAAAAATAAGAAGTCCAAGTCAGCCATAGCCACAGGGACAGGCACGGGCACGTGAGGAGGAGCTGGAGCTGGAACAGGAGCTGGAGCAGGAGCAGGAGCAGAAGCAGCACTCGTGCCCCTCCCCAAAAAGAGGGATCAGATTAAGACACTGGAATGCGGAACGTGGCCAATATGCTGCTGCTTCTTTGGCCATTGAGGGTTTTTTCCCCCATCATTATCAACGAGCTGGAATTTTTCGCAAGCTGGAAAACAACCCACAACAGTTGGTTGTCCTGGGCGATTATGACAGATGGAAAGATACAAGGAGTAGGCGGTGGGTGGTGGGTGTTGGGTCGTGGGAGGGGGGCTCTACTAGCTAATTAAAGTGCGTACATGTGCTCCCCACACAACCAGCAGTATCCAGAGATCTGTCTGCCCCACTTCAGTTGTTTGAGGGAAATTTTGGAAATTTTACAAATTAATTTCATGTTTGAAGCAAATTCGTAAACAAGTCTTAATGTGCACTAAAGCGTGTATTTCCAAGGGCGCTGTGCCGCAAGACTATGGGGAGGGGCCTCCAGCCTTAGATTGTGGGTGGGTGGGTGCATAGCATTGCCTAACCACCCATCTAATAATGTTGGGCGCCCGCCAGACATGAATTTAGCATTTATCTAGCGCCACTTGAACAACGTCCTCGTCCTCGTGCTCAGCGTTGGCTTTGGCTTTGGCGTTGGCGTTGGTGCCTACTTCGATGCTGACAATGAAGATGAAGATGGCGGCGGCGGCGGCACAAATTTTAAGGGATGAGGAGGAGGAGGAGTAGTGGATTGCCTGGGTGCTGGGTGGTTGGTGGGCTGGTGTGGGCTGGTGTGGGCTGGTGTGGGCTGGTGTGGTGCGGTGTGGTGCCTGGTGGCTCGGTGGTTTGGGTTGAGCTAATTTCAACGCCTCTTAGGCGCACAGTGGTTGCACACACGCGGCCTGGCCCTGTCTGTCTGAAGTGTGGCAAAGTCAAGGAGCGCCGCGAGAAGAAGTCCCTGCAGTGGGATAGCAAGCAGCCCACAAAAGGAAACTTCAACGTTGTTACGGCTCTACTCCGCCAGGGCCCTATGTAAGCCTTTCCGAATACACCGCAGATAGTGGCTCTGCGAGGGGCACCAAAAGAACGTTGTGTTTCATTTAATTGAAAGTGAGCTTAAGCTCTCCGATAAAAGTTTGTCTTAAATTTAATTTCAACAGTTTCTACCCCCCTCCCCACACCCATCAAATGTATGTACATATGTCTCTCAGTTTTTGTAACAGCTCGTACCAGTGTGCACTTAATTTTGGTTCCATGGGCATGTCAACAGATTCTCCACTCGAGTGGCGGAGACTTCTTTCATGGCTTTCATGGCCAGTAATTGTTGTTGCTGCTGTTTGCTGCTGTTTGTTGCTTTTGTTGCTTTATGTAGATGTGACGGGGCAGGTTTTTGCCATTTTGCCAGAGCCATGTTCGAATTTGTTTCAATTCCAGGCCCAGTCATCAGCTCCATCTCCAACTCCAGCGCCAGCGCCAGCGCCAGCTCCAGCCAGCGACACGTACGAGGCATGAAGTCATGCCAGTGCCAGTGCCAGTGCCAGTGCTAGGGGCTAAGGGCTAAGGGCTATGGCCATGGAGATGCCGGTGATGGTGGTGGTGGTGGTGGTGGTGGAGCAGTCGTGGGAGCTGCTTTTGGTGGCCAGTCAAGAGTGAAACAGCGCTGTTAATATAAAGTAGGTAATTGAGATGGAAACTGAATGAGGAGAGGACGTGAACGTGAACGAGGACTCTCCTAAGCTTTTTCCTCCTGCCTCTGACTCTGCTCCTCCTCGAACTTGATCAAATTAATCAAGTACAGTGGACTCCACGCTCTGCTCCCTTCTGCGT